GCCAGTCCTGTTCTCCATTCACCCTGCATAGCCACTGGGGTTGTCACCTCTCTACAATGCTGCTGCACAGGACAGGCGCATGTGGTCTGGCACTAACACCCTGTCTGTGCTCGGCAGGCTCATCCGCAGGGAGCACTCGGACCCCATGGTGGAAGAGCTGAACCCAGGAGATGCGCTGGAGCCCGAGGGACGAGGCACGGGTGGGTCTCTCCAGCCCTGGCAGCGGGGGCCCATGCTGGGATATGCCACAGGACCATCTCTATGCTCTATGCCTGGCTGAGTCACCTGCCTGCTCCCCACCAGCATCCTGGAGCCCCCATCACTCAGGAGCAGCCCCATGCTTTCTCCATCTGCCCATGCCCAGCTAACAGTGCCATCTCCAGTTGTTCCCCAGGGCTTCACTCTCGGGGGGCTCCTTCCTGGGTGCCCACTGTTCAAAGCCAACCTCTGTGTTTGGGAGGGGGTGAGGCAGTCTCTTGTGTCCTATAGCCCCCCATGCACTGCATGTCCCCTTCACTGCCTGGGGAGCCAATCCACCTGAATGCAGAGTGCCACACACATAGGGACCCTTACTCCTGCACTGGGGACTCCCCGTCTTCTCTATTGACCTTGCATTGCTGGGAGTAGATATTAGGAAAAATTTCTTCACCAAAAGGGTGATCAGATATTGGAAAGGCTTCCCAGGGAAGTGGTGGAGTCACCGTCCCTGGAAGTGTTCATAAAACATGTAGATGAGGCCCTCAGTGACATGGTTTGGTGATGGAATTGCAGTCCTTAGACTTGATCTTAAAGGTCTTTTCCAACCTAGTTGATTCTATGAATGCTGCTGTCACCTGTGGAGCCCACACCAGCAGAAGGTTGTAATGCTGGGAGATATGGGGCTGGGCCCCAGGCATGACATGATCCTGTCCTTGCAGGGGGTGCAGTGACGGATTTTGATGGCGATGGGATGCTGGACCTCATCCTATCCCATGGAGAGTCTATGGCACAGCCGATCTCCATCTTCAAGGGCACTCAGGTGAGCCAAGCAGGGGGTTTTCACATCATCCCCAACCCTTCCACCTCTCCTTGCTCAGTGTCCCTGCTCCCTCCTCCCTTGCAGGGCACCACCAACAACTGGCTGCGGGTGATCCCGCGCACCCGCTTCGGGGCCTTTGCGCGGGGGGCCAAGGTGGTGCTGTTCACGCGGCGCAGCGGGGCCCACCTGCGCATCATTGACGGCGGGTCCGGGTACCTCTGCGAGATGGAGCCAGTGGCGCACTTCGGACTGGGTGAGCAAGGGGCTGCCAGCAGCCCCAGCCTTCCACCCTGCTCAGGGGCCAGGTCTGCTGCTGCAGTGCCCTGCAGCACCCTAGTCACCATTGGTTCATGTGCACCCCTTGGGCTACAGCCCTGTTGCCAGCATGGGCATCTGGGGCGAGGGCAGGCTTTGCCCCTCCATCCCTACCACCCCCTGGCCTCCTTTCAGCCCCTGCCCGCCCTGGAGACCCCCTCTCTGACGGGCTGCCCACCTGCAGGGCATGACAAGCCCAGCAGCCTGGAGGTGACCTGGCCGGATGGCCGCGTTGTGTCACGACCAGTGGCCAGCAGTGAAACCAACTCTGTCCTGGAGGTCCCCTACCCCCTGGACACCGAGGAGCCGCTTGTGCCTGCCCCACTGGAGGTGAGGGCCAGCCGTGTGTGCAGGGTGGGAGGCTCTGGGGGTAGGAATGGGGCTGGGCTCTGCTGGCTCTGTGGCTGCCCAGGGCTGATTCCTCCCCATCCTGGCTGTTTCCACTTCTCCCCAAATGCAGTGCGGGCAGGGATTCTCCCAGCACAAGAATGGACGCTGTGTAGGTGAGTGGCTGCCAGGGGCATAGGCTATAGAGGAGGACTGTGGTGTCACGGGGAGGGGGGAGAGCATGGTGCCAGGGGCAGGAGGCATGGCTGGCATGCGGCAGGCACTGTGCTAGAGCATCAAGCAATGGGGGGCAGCAGGGATGTGGCAGGGGGGCAGTGCTATGAGCCTCCTGGGTAGATGCATGGCCTGTGTGGCTACATCTAGGGAGGCATCCATCACGTGCAGGGGGAACTGGAAGGGCCATGGCTGGCAGCCCCATGCTACCAGCCCAGCCATCTCACACCGAGGCCCCTCTGCTTGCAGACACAAATGAATGCACCGAGTTTCCCTTTGTCTGCCCCCGGGACAAGCCCGTCTGCATTAACACCTATGGCGCGTACCGCTGCCGCAGCAACAAGCGCTGCGGACGGGGCTTCGAGCCCAATGAGGATGGCACAGCTTGCGTGGGTGAGTGATGGCTGGGACCCTGAACAGCCTGGCAAAGTCCATAGGCACCCCTTGGGATGCTGCTGCACCCCTTGCCAAAGGCTTAGCTGCACCCTGCAAGCTGCTGGTGGTTGCACAGCCACGTCCACCCCGGCTCCCTCTGTTCGTCCTGTGCCTCCTGCTGAGCTGCCACTGACTCCCCTTCCCTCTTTCTCTCTCGCTCCTTCTCTGTGCAGCTCAAGTGGCCTTTTTTGGGGGATACCCCTCCACTGGGAGCTGGCCCAGGCTCCCCCAGAGCGCTCTCCTCCCTCTGGTCCTTGGACTCTGCCTTTGTCTCTATGCACTTTAAGCCCTCCCTGTAACACGCCAGAGCAGCCTTGGCAGAAGGACTGGCCAGCCTCTGCCTCTCTCTCCTTTTCTCTCTCCGTGTCGAGCGGCCCTGGAAGTGCCGGCTGTGCCCTACAGGGGTGGCCTGTGTTGGGAGGGGGATGGAGCCCCGCTGTCCCTTTGCACCTTGCTTGGGGATGGAACCTCCCTTGCCCAGCGCTGCTCCTGCCCTGCCGGCACCTCTCGGGCTGGTCGCTTGCTCCGTCGCCTCGATACTGTCCCATGTGCCTGCTGGTTTGGCCTGCGACGTGTGTGCTTCGCCTACCCCCTTCTCGGGGATGGGGACCACCTCCCCAGCCCTGGCAGAGGAGGGTCCCCCCGGCCCTGCAGGGGAAGGACCCTTCTGGTCTGTTTTTTAACGTATTGACCCCACTGTTTGGAGTCGGACCCTGCTCAGTCTTCCAGCCCCTCTCCCAGAGAACCCCCTCAATAAACTATATCCTGTCTATCAACCCAAGCTCCTGAGCTGTGCAGTGCAGGGTTGGGCCCTTGCTTCTCTCCATCCTGCCCTGGTGCCAGGAGCTAGCTCTGCACAGTGGCCCTGGGCAGCTCTGTCCCTGCCCATCCTTGCTTCCAGCCATGGGACTATGGACATATGTGCAGCACTGGAGGGACCGGGCGCTCCCACCCCAACAACAGGACATGCTGCTTTCCCCCTGCACGCTGTAACCCCACTCTTCCCCACCACCAGACATTGACGAGTGTGCCCAGGGCTTGCACAACTGCACCCAGCTCTGCACCAATACTCCTGGGGCGTTTGCCTGCCACTGCCACCTGGGCTTCCACCCCCTTGATCCTGCTGCCAGCCAGTGCCTGGGTGAGTACCTGCAGGCAGGAGGGCCAGACCACCCCGTGCTGCTGTAGGAGCAGGGATGCTGGTTCCTGGGTGCCCTGTTGTGCTCATAGCCCTGGTCCCAGCCAACCCAAAACGTGGGACAGAATGGACAGACTGTGGCTGTGCAGGAGTTGATGCAGTAAGGAGGCATCTGCCTCCCAGCAGCCTTGGGGACAAGAGCTGCACGGTTGTAGACGCTGGAGAGGCTTTCATGTCCCAGCTTCACCCTGCCCTAGGGCATCCCCTCCATGTCCCCTTGATGAGCCCTGTACCCTTGGCACAGGTCTGACCCTCTTCCCTTCTTTCCCAGATGTAGATGAGTGCCAGGCACAGCCTGGCCCCTGCGACCACATCTGCCACAACAGCTACGGCTCCTTCCACTGCCACTGCCGCCATGGCTTCTCCCTGGGTGCAGGCGGGCGCTGCCGGCACAACTAGCCCACCCAGCACAGCCAAGTGCCCCCTGCTCTGTGCTGGCTGCGCCCAGTGCCAGCTGAATAAACCCCTTCCTGCACTGGTTTTCCTGTGGGTCACTGGAGCCCAGGAATGCTACACGGGTCTGTCCCCACTCCCCCTGTGGACTGCCCCTTCCCTCCTCCTTATTTCCCCCATGCTCACTCTCCTTATGAGGCTCTGTGCACCTTGGTGTGCTGGGGGATGCCCAGCCTGTCTCTGTGCTCCCCAGCCTTGCCCCACTCCCCACTCTGACAGGACAACGGGCAGGCACAGTGAGGGATGAAGCCAGGGTTTATTGAGGAAGGTCTCCATGCAGCAGAGCCCCTGTGGGAATGCCAGGGCCAGGGCAACCCCACACATGCTCCATGACAGAGCCAAAGGGAGTCCCAGGGGGCAGGGTTTTCCCTCCAGGGTCCCAGGAGAGCAGTGCTGCCTCAGTTCATCCCTGCACCCAGGCAGGGACTCTTCTCCTCAGGGTGCTGGGTGTCACAGGGACCCTCCTATTCCCCACCATCTGACCTTGGCTAATGAAGCAGCCAGCCCCAGGTGCCCCTTGGGGTCCTCACTGCAGGCCAGGCTGAGAACTGGGGTGCTGCAGATACATGCAGGATTTATGGGCAAGGGAAGGCTCAGCAGCAGGAGAGGAAGGGTTCTGGTGGAGCTGTGCTGTGCATGAGCCTAGGGCATAATGCACAAGGGCAAGGGCCTGCCCAGCGCTGTGCATCCCTGCCCTGGGCATGCGGCTTGGGACTGGGAAGCTTTCTGGGTTATTTCAGCTGGGGGTGGCACTGGGTCAGGCAGGGAGCAGAAGCAAGTGCCCAGTGTCATGGGTAGTGCTGAAGGACAGTGCTGGCAAGGACACTGCTACCGGATGGGTGAGGGCACCTGGCCAGGGCTGGGAACAGCAATGGGCAGTGTGTGGGGCAGGGCTGGGGCGAATGCATGGCACCATCATGCAGATGAAGCAGCACCAGGGCTCTGCCAGGCACACTGGGCATACAGCAGCTGAGCCCACCCCACAGCTCCAAGAGCAGGACACCCCAGGGAGGGGTGCCCATGGGCTTAGGGATAAGTGCGTGTCCCCCCCTTAGCGCTGCCTGGGGTTTTACCAGTCCTGATGCATGACACACAGGGCGCTCCTTACGCAGCTGGGCAAGCTCCTTCACTTGGGGCAGAGGCAGCAACAGCGAGCACCCGGTGGGCTGCAGCAGCCCCTTGGCACCAGTTTCTCTCAGTGGGAAGCACCTGGGATACACCAGCCCCAGCCCCTGCCCGCAGTGGGACTGAGCAGGGGCAGAGCCGCTTGTGGGGGGGCACAGAGCAGACAGGGGTGGGAGCCCCCGGCCTCCCTCCCGCTCTCCCTGGGCTCAGAAGCGGGTGCTCTGGTAGTGCAGCCTGCGGAGCTCGGACAGACCACTGTCCCGGCAGTACGAGTCCCTGCAGGGACCCCCTGCCAGTCACCGGCCCCCCGCCCCGCCACCCCCCCCACTGCTGCTGCTGCTGGAGCTGCCGCTGCTGGAGCTGCCGCTGCTGCACCGGTCCTCGTAGATGGAGATCTCAATCTGGGCCCTGCTAAGGATCATTGGTGAGGTAGGCAAGCCCGATGGCCCGGCACACACTGCAGTGTCCCCCCACCCCTCGCCCTCGTCATCCCCCAGCATCCCGCTGCCCAGAGGATACAACCCTCATGCCGCGCTCCAGGGGGTCAGTGAGCAGCAGCCCCCGTGGTGCATAGATCTTCTCGTTCTGGTCCTGGATGTACTTGGAGATCTTCTTCAGGACCTGTCAGCACACGAAGGGACACTCAGGGCCCACCAGCACCACTGCCTGCTCTACCCTCCAGCCCCTCTGCTCCCTGTGCCCACCCTGTGCCCACCAGCAGGCCTGCAGCCCTGCCCGTCCCTGGGACCTCCCCTGGACCTCAGCACCTTCTCGTAGTGCGTCTCCATGCAGAGGAAGATGAAATAGGCAGTGGCACAGGCCAGGCACCCCTCCAGGTAGGAGCTGCCCCCGATCTTCTCCGCCTCAGCATAGAAGCCATTAAGGGTTTTCACTGTTTCCTCAAAGAGTTGCCGCTCAATCTAGAGCACAAACCAGGGTGAAGAGGAGTCTGGTCAGAGGCTGACCCCAGCACTGCCCTGTCCCCATCCCCAAGGGGAACTGGGGAGCTTAAAACACCACCTAGTTGGTACCTCAGCTCCCTGGCCTCTACCTGCCTTTCACCTGAACCTCCTGGTTCCCAGGAGCACCCAAGCCCTTGCAGACGGGACAAGGGGGCTGTGATTGCATGCACCCAGCAGCATCAGCTGGCCCAGGGCCATACAACAAACATCCTGTGGAGACCTCATGCCCTTAGACCCCTCTCCCCACCAAGTCCCAGTAGCGCACCAGCATAGGGCACCCTGTGCCCTGTCAGCCTGCCTTGCTCCCTACCCGGCTCTCCAGCTCAGGGGGGAACTTTGTCTGGAACTGGCATGTGGTCCCATCGCTGTAATCCCGCTGCACAAAGACCTTGGTGGCCAGAGATGCACTGCGCCGCAGCTCCTGCAGGCTGTGAACCTGGGGAAGGCATCGGGGTGAGGCCGGGGGCTGCAGCCATGGGGTGCCAGGGGGGGCAGCTCCGTTCCCCCAGTGTCAGGGGCTGCAGGCTCACACACAGGCACACAGGCAGGGAGCCTGCAGCACGGGCTGTGTCACGCTGTGAGCAGAGCTCAGCCCTGGAGGTGCGAGCCCAGGGGTGAGCGGAGGATGCTGGCAAGGGAAGGACGCCACTTGGAGCATGGACAAGCACATGTGCTCCCTGCTGGTGCCTGGCCTCGCCTGCACCGGCTGCTGCACGCATGGCTCTGTGTCCTCTGGTGGGCACGGCCCGGGGAGGGGGCAGCCCCCTGTCCCCAGCGCACAGCCCCGCAGCAGCTCCCAGGAGGGAGGCAGGGGGCTGGCAGCGGGGCTGCAGCAGCAGCAGCAGCGCGGCGGGCGGGAGGCTGCAGCGGGGAGGCCGCGCAAAAGGGATCGGCAGCCCCGGCGGCAGGCGCTCAGCCCAGCCCCGGCACCCCACCGGGTACTGAGGGCCCCACGCCAGCCCCCGGGGCAGTTGTGAGCAGCTGGAGGCGGGGAAGCAGGGGCCAGGCTGTGCCAAGGGCGCGTCTCAGACCCCACCCTGTGCTTCCCTTTGGCTGACATGCGGCCACCCCCTGCTGTGTGCCCCACACACACTCTGTCCCTGTCAAGGGTCCTACCCACGGCACATGAGAGAGGGACCCTCAACCCCACAGACCCCCCTTTTCCCGGGATACCCCACCCAGACCCACCTGCTCCCTCCAGCAAGGGCACCCTTCACACCCTTCACCCCCCCCGCACCCCCACCCCTCCGGACACCCCAGATACACACTGCCCTTTCCGTGCACACAGACCACGCACCCTTCCCAGCCCCACACCACCCCCCAGCGCACCCCACGCCGACCCCAGCCCCAGCGCTGCCCCCCAGCACAAGCGCATCCCACGTTGCCCCCCTTTCCCCAGTGGCCGCGGGCACGGGAAGGCAGAGCGGGGAGGCTCCGCCGCAGCCCGGCACCGGGAGCGCTCGCTGCCGGGGTGGTCCCCGCCCGCTTGCGGCCGCGCACCCACCTCCGTGGCCATGGCGCGGGGCTGGGGGCCCGGGCCGGGCTGGGCTGTGCCGGGGGAACCGGCGCTGTCACCGGGGCCGTGCCGGGGGGCGCGGCGGGACTGGCGCTGTCCGCGGTGCTGCCGTGCCGAGCGGCAGAGGCGGGCCCGGCCGCCCCGTGTGCGCAGCCGCCCGGCCCGCCACGGCCCGCCCCGAGGCGCCGGGGATGGGCGTCCGCCGCTACCGGCACGGAGCCCCTGGAGGAGGCGGCCCAGCTGCTTGGGACAGCGGTACCGGGGTCCGGCTCCCCCAGCTGGGAGCTCGAGGAGGGGAACTGCTGCTCTATGCCCCGGGGGTCCGGCCGGCACTGCGGGAACTGGGGCCCGGCTGCTAACCCTGTAGGTCCCTGGGGGGAAGTGCTGGGGTAACGGGTGCCCTGTGCGGCCGGGGGGCTGGCCCGGTGGAGCCCCGGGAGGCCCGCAGTGGGGCTGGCAGGCAGCCGTGCCGAGAGGCCTCGTCTGAAGCTGTTTGTTTGCGAAGGATTTGCAGCTGGCACTGGGCTCTGGAGCGGGAGCTGCGATCGCAGTGCGGACAGACATCAAAGAGCAGAGCTAACGAATTCCCTGTTATCTCTGCCTACTGACAGCTCAATTAGAGCCAGAGAAATGCCAAACGGGGGGAACAGAGGCTCTCCTGAGAGGGGAAGGGGGGGTGCTCACAGCTGGGTCCGTGGTGAAGCAGGAGGGGTGCGGTGGCTGGGCACAGGGCCCTCATCGTGCGGGAGAGCAGCCAGCCTTTCCCTCAACACCTGGGCGCTGCTGGAGGCAGCGTGGGGCCCTGCCAGCGCGTCTGCCCATGCTGCTAACACAGCACACAGGGACCCTGATGAAACAGCATCATCTGACTCCTGCTCCCTGCCCTGAGCACCAGCACTGGCTTCGGGCAGAGACAGAGGCAGAGCTCTGGGGAGACTGGTGGGCAGCCCCGGTACACTGGAGTGTAGCAGGGTTTGTGACCAAGGGACAAAAGCAGACGTGCAGGCAGGGGTCCAAGTCGCAGGGCTCATCTTCCCACAGACAAAGCTACGGATCCCATTGCTTTCAGGAGAGCCTTCTGCTCCCACGGTTCAGAGCAGCCCTGCCAGCACACACCACGCAGCAGTGGGGTACACCCTGCCCAGAGAGTGCCACAGGAGCCCCCTTGGGGCAGGGGTGAACTCTCCCATGTGCACACACTTGCATGCACACAGATGAAGGTATTCGTGCATGCACCCCCCCCGTGCACCCAGGCACACGTCCATGTGCTCCCACACTCGAGCGTGTCCCCGCATGCCCCCAAGCCCAGGCCCTGCATTCCGGCTCCTTCCCGTGTTGTGTGTCACCAGCACGTCAGGACTCCCGGCCCTGCCGGTTGCCATGGCAATGCTGTGCCTGCCAGGAGATGAAGTTTGCTCTCCACTCTGCATCAAGGGGCCAAGAGCAGCCGGGGCTACGCTGACACCGGCTCTGCCCGGCTGCCCTGCCCTGCTGCCCAAGGCATGGCTCTTCTCTGGCTGCACCAGCTCAACCCAAGATCCAGACCCTCAGTTCTGGGTTCCTGCTGCCTCACAAGCCATGGACCTGCTGTCTGCATCACCAGAGTATGTGTCCTTCGGTGGGATATCTTCACCCCGCCATGGGCAGCCACCTTCTGCCAGGCACATGACCCAGGAGCAAGCCTTGCCCAGTGTCAGGCAGGACTTGGGCAGCCTGGACCTGCTCCACAGCACTCATCACTGCACAGCCCCTGGCCCTGCCTGTGGTGCCTGCAGCATCTTCAGAGCCCACCAGGGCCTGACAGCCCCTCCATGCAGGATGCACCTTCATGGGCTTTCCAGTTTTAACCAGAGCAGGGACAGACCCTGTTGGTTTCCATGCACAGTGGACAGGTTGCTGTCTGTGCCACAACATGCCATGCCCATGGACCCACAAAACAGGCATGGGGCATACCTGGCGCCCCTATGGCCAGCCCCACACAGCAGGCCCTCACACTGAGTCATCCATGCCCAGCAGTGCCCCTGGTCCAGCCCCTATGCCTGGCTCCCAGCTCAGGACCAGAGGATGTCCCAAAATGTGCCCAGGAGCATAGTGCTATACCCCGTCCCAGCACCCCAACCCTCCCTGGAGTCCCAGCATGGTGCCTGAGGGCCATGGAGCCCTGCAACCAGCCTGGGACCGACCCCTGGGGTCCCATCCTCCACCCTCTGCATGCTAAGCCCCCTCCCAAGCCTTTCAGGCCTGTCAGTGGCTCTGGCTCCACTTCAAAGGGGCCATGGCAGGGCCAGGTCCTGGCAGCTACTTCACAGGGCACAGGGGGAGCTTTCATTAATGGGAGGGAACATGAGCTCACCACCCCGGTGAGGACAACGGTGACATTTGGGAGGCACACAGACAAAGCAGGGCAGGGTGATCAGCTGATAACCTTTCCTGGGAGAAGCCAGGTGTGTACACCAGTATGGGGGGGCACATCTCCCACACAGGGAGCCCCTGAAAACAGCTCTAAGTGCCCCATCCCGCTCCTTCAACAAGACAAGGAGAGTGCCCCAAGGTGATTCTGCAGCCTGGGCACCCTGAGTGGCACCTGCATCGCTGCCACATCCAGCTGTGTCCATCCCAATTGGCGGTGACAGGACCCCATTGCACCAGGATCCCCCATAGGGCAGCCCCCAGCAGCCCCCACAGGAGTGCATGGGGGGGGACACAGCATCCCGCAAGCAGAGGGGTCTGTGTGCGGGAGGTGCCGGGACTGCGCCGGGGCTGCCATTGCCCGCAGCTGGGCCGGGAGCGCTGCCAGCCGCATTCCGTGTGGGTGCAGGGTGAGTGCACGGACACCGCCGCCCTGCCCCTGCCCCTGCCCGCCCACCGCCACCACGGACCCGGCACTGCTCGGCCACACCGAGCCCCTCCAGTCGTGCCTCAGCCTCCCCCCGGGCTGGGGGCACATCCCTGAGGTCTGTGCACATCCCTGGCATGCTGCCCCATCCCCTCACCCAGGGTCCCTGCTCTGCAGTGGGGGCATACTAAGCCCAGCAGGTGATGCAGCCTAGGAGTTCCAGGAGCATGGAATGAGGTTGGAACAGGGAGGACGAAAGGATGGGAGAGACAAGAGGATGGGGAGGACGGGAGAATGGAAGCATGGCGGGAGCCCACATAGTGCACCCAGCCCACCCAGGCCCTTGGGATGCTTCTCTGCCTGCAGAAACAAGGTTGGCAGTGCACAAAGCTGCAGTGGGAGAGGGAACTGGGCCATGATGGAAACAGCCAGCCAGGGCTCCGCTCAACACTCATATCCCAGGAGCCTCCATCTCCCGTGGCTGCCGGGGGGGGGCACATATCTGCAGCACAGATCTGCTCTGGGCTACAGCGAGGCACAGGGTCTTGGGGAGGGCCCAAAGTGGCGAGGGGGCAACCCCTGGGGATGTCCTTACCATGCCACCCTGGCTGGCCGTCCCCGAGGTCCCCACTGTCGAGGGAGCAGACCCCATGGTCCTGCTTCCGGCCTCGCTGCGGTGACCCAGGCAGTGACACAGCCAGCTCCTCGGAGTGACAGGCACAAGTGTCAGTGTCCCAGCCGGCTGCGCTGATGCAGGACGGGGACGTGGGCACTGGAGCAGCCTGCACAGAGAGGACACGGGGAAAGGTGCCCTCTGACCATCCCCACCCGCAGCGTGCACCTCAGACCTACCTCCCCTGGGACATCCTGGGTGGCAAAGGGTTAAGGAAGCAGTGGGGGTGCAGCAGGAACCCCTCAGAGCAGAGGCACAGTCTCAGCTTGGGGACAAGTACACCAGGACACATGGCAGGGTGGGAGCAGAGGGTGAGCATCCCTCTCCTGGGGCCAGTCCTGCTCCCCCCCCCAGCACAGCCATGCTGCCAGGAGGTGACTCAGTGGCTCTAATGAAGGCATTTCATTATGCCACAGATGGGGGGGCAGACGAGCTGGCAGGGAACCCCTCACTCCCCCTCAGACCCCTCACCTTCATCCCTTCGTCTGGTGGAGTGCCAGCTGGCACAGGGTGCTCAGCACCCCAGCACCTTCCTGGGACAGACTGTAGGTGCTGGGGGCTGCACAGGGTGCCTGGGGTAGGCTGAGAGCCAGGACCTGGTCCATGGCCAGGAGCAGGACAGCAGCAGTGCTGGCAATGCTGTGGGGACAGAGCAAGGTGTGTTTGGCATCCTGCACAGCGGCAGCTCCATCCCACACACCCAGGCTCCCTCTGCCTCCACCTCTCAGCTTCGACAGCCCCTTCCCAGCCCAGCTCCCATGGCAATTACACCCTGCCCAAGCCCATCCATCACAGATTAGCTATTTTCTATCGGCATTTATCTCCAGGCAATCTCACTCCTGCTGTGACAGCCTGATGCTTCCAGCACCCTCCCTCCTGCTACCGGGCAGCCCTGATAAAGGGCAGCTCTATCTTATCGTGCTCCCCTGCAGTTACACATTAATGGTGCCATCTCCGGGGCTTGGCCGGGGTGGGATGAGCTCAGCCCACCCTCGGGCTGGCAGCAAGCATCACTGGGCAATGCAGTAACGGGCACGGAGGGCATGGGCAGGCTGCAGGCAAGCGCAGGGTGTGTGGGTGAGGTTCCCAGCACAGCCCCAACGCAGATGGATCCCACCGGGTTTGGGGGACGGCCCCTGCCCCCAGCCCGGGGCAAAGGGCAGCTGCTATCACTGTCTGCACCGGGCTGTTTGCTCTGTCGCCCATTAACAGAGCTGCCTTATCCAGCAGGCAGGGGCCAGAGGCGGCCCAGAGCTCGTTGGCCAGGCAGGGGCATCGATCGCGGGAAGGGGAAGGGGTGCCCCAGATAACCCCTGCAGACAAATGAGTTTCTAATGGGGTCTCGAGCCTTGCATCCCCCGGCCCAGCCCATCTCCAGGGAGATGGGGGAATGCGGCCCCGGCAGGACCCTCACCCTATTCAGGGTCCAGCTCTGTGCCTGGGGCACCAGCAGAGCCTGGGTACAAGCCCTTTGCTGGGAGGTGTAACCCCTGCTACACCTGTGCCCAGCAGACCACGGTTATCCCCAAGGAATAAGGACCCCGTGCCCATGGCATTGCTTTGTCACTGATGCCACACATGGCACCTGGCACACGGGTATCCCAGCTGCTCCCAGTGCTGCAACATGAAGCCT